GCCCAACAGCTTAGTGCTGCGGACGGACCCAGTGGACAGTGCAAGAAAGAATATTGCCATCATCAATCTCCACCGACGGTCGCACATCCTCATTAAATAACGGAAGTTCTTTGACCTTTTATACACCTAAGTGCAGTTTCAGAAAGGCTCTTACGGGAGCTTCTTTTTGCCGTGTTTCCATAGACGTTCTTGCAGTGAAGGCGTCTCTGTTTGCCTAAGGAATGCCAAACTCCGCAATTTTGCAATGACCGTTGGGACGCGTGACTCTCGGAAGATCATCGGCAAGTACAACCTGACCGGTGCCTAGAGCTAAAGCAGAACTGCGAAGTTTGGATAACACACTCGATAACATGGTATGTTCAACAAATGATGTCAATGGCAGTTCATGGTATCAATGGCCAGTTGATGGCCGAGGTGAGGATGTTTGCAACCAGGCGCGCTTTGAAGACGCTGTTGGCATTTTCCCAGAATTCATTGACGGTGGCCCGGCTCCATTTTCAAATCCTGAAGCTGAGTGGCTGTGGTGGCCAAAGGCAAATGCATTCCCCAAACTTGATCTTGGGAGAGGAGCAACAGAACTGCTGGCGCGATGTGCATGGATGAACTACGTGCGGTAGTTTGCCTCATTTGTGAGTCGCTTGATGAGGCTACAACATCCTGATCCTTCCTACCACTGGTCGTTACTTTCAGGCAACACGAAGGGCAATTTGCGATAGTTGAGTGCAACGGGTCAACAGGTTCTTATTTGATCTTATTTGTGCACTTGTACACACACACACACCTGCACACTCACACACACTCACACACGTCACTGTGAGCATTGTTGCAAAGAGCCACAAAAAGACTTAACACAAAGATTGGTATATAGCTAGATACACAGAGCTGATCAGGCTTCGGATCCAGCAAAAGTGAAGGGCTTTGTTGGGTGTATTCTCCAATGCGCTCTGCATCCTCTGCTTTTGTGCAGCGATAAATGGTAAAATGCCAAATTGTGAATTGTAAGCGATGTTTGTGAAGATCGTAAGGTACTTTCTGGAGCATTCCAAGATGCATTGGACTCTTTGTGATGTAGTTACTGCAACATTGAGTGCGTTTGCAGACCTGTAAAAACCAAACCAGCCTGAGATACAGTGGAAGTTAAGTTTCCCTAAAAGTCTAAGAAGCAAATCATTATTGCGAGCGCTTCTTCAAGGAAGCTTGAGGGGAGGGGGGAGCTTGAAGAAGCGTGAGCTATGCTGCGTCCTAGCTAGGAGCTTCCTATTGCTAGTAGCTTAGTTCTCCCTTACTTAATTAAGGAGGCAGGGCCACGGGCCGGCGGCTAAAAAACAAGTACAAGAAGCTACTAGGGGCTCCTGGCCGTACTACTAGTAACAAGAAGCTAGTAGAAACAAGTGCATCGCTACTAGTAACAAGTGCCTTATTAGTAGTAACAAGGACGCTAGTAGTAACAAGAAGCTACTAGTAGCTCCTACGTCAAAAAGATCCGGCCAGACATCTCATCCACACCGTAGCTTCGTTGCACACGGAAGGCTATTGATGCCACGTACACTTGCTAAAAGCAATGATGCGAGTCCAGGATTGTCACACATACACAGATGTTACATACAGTGTGCCTTTTTCTTGTGTTTGCAGTTTTGGAAGCTCGCTTTGCGGAGTTGCAGACATGTGGGGAATTTGAGCCAAAATCATTTGCTTACAAGGTGACGTTACGTCAGTATTTGCTTGACATGGCAAGGCAACAACACTATAATTCAATGCACATCAATTGCAAGGTTCACAAACGACAAACACCCCTTTTTAGGGAATGTGTGGGCCCCACACTAAAGATTAGAGAGGTTCCTTATGGTTGCATGCTGCCAAGCAGCGGCGCCGACAACCTGCTCGTGGCCGGCCGCGCAACTTGGTTTGCAGGATCTCCTGTGCCTTGTTTTAGATTGTTGCTCAAGTTTCCTTCCTTTTCCCTGTGTGTCTTTTTCTATCGAGCGTGGGGGTAATTGAGTGATTTGATGGGCACTGCCCGTAAAGCGAAAAACAAAACACAAAAAACATGACATGAGTGAGGCTGTGGCAGGCGACCGCGTCTCCCATGCCGCTATGCGAAACATGATGGTGCTTTGTCTGAACTTTATTCTCGCCGTCATGAATTTTGGCTGACTTTGGATGCAACTGCTCAAGAGATTGGTTTATTGCAACCACAAAGTTGAGAACACATGAAAAAGCATGTCCACAATGCAGATTAGCTGTTTCTTTGCTCAGATCAGTGCTTTCTTGTCTGGCTGTGTTGAAATTGTGTTTGCTGCATTTGGGACTTATTAATTCGTACAAGACCAAAGGTCAATTTCTTCTGCCGAGGCATGCACTGTGACAGGCCAGGGGGCAGGCGTCGCAGCTGCGGTGTCTCTCAGACACTGCACGCGGGTGTCCGGAGGCCCAGGGGGTGGTTGCAAGCTGCGACTCATTATATAATAGCGATGGCCTCCAACCCATTTGGTTCTGGCAGTTTTTGGATTGCAGGAAAGTTTCCTTTTTCCATATTGCCAAGGAAGGATGTCGACATTTCTGATGTGCAACAAGAGCTCCACAGGCAGAAAACCTAGTTTCGCAGCTGTTTGTCAAAAAGGCTCTTGGGACCAGGCCAGGCTTCAGGCCTCAAGCATGGTCAGGATTGTTCATCATGTCGGGATTCACTGCGCTCGTTTTTGTATCTAACTTTATCTATCTTGCTATCAGACTGGCCGTAATGAACCGGCACAAGAAGCTTCCTTCAACAAGAGCTTCTTTGCATCCTTGGGGTTCAGCATCTACTCGTGCTAGCTGCTTCTTTCCACTAGCTTCGGACACATCTACCTCTCAAACAGAAAAGCAAACGTATTCAAGAGAACAGAAAAACACATTTGTTTTGGAAAGGGCTTTGACAATCTTGTCAAACTACATGGAGCCTTGGTCACACCTGTCTCCATTTGCAGCAACACTAAGTGCACAACAGGCCATGACACCATGCAGTTTTACAAACGCACACATGGCTCCAGAAGGAGCACCTGCAAATTGTGTGCAAGTGCCGGGAGCAGTCGATGCCTCATAAAGACACTCTGTATACAGAGGAGTTTTTGTGACAAGCAGCTGCCCACGACTTGCGGACGCTTTTCAGCCCGCCCCGTAAACAAAAGAACAGTGTCCAAAGGATGTGAAACCATGTTAGACCATGGTTTAAACCTTAGCATTGCTTGAGCCTCTCCAACAAATGTGGGCATCGCCGGCATCGCCCTCTTGAACGCCATCTCCTGGTCAAAAAATAAGAGGTTTTTGCAGTAAGCTAGGCTGTCAAAGAGCGTTTTTGGAGGACTGTCGACATTTGTTGACTGTAACCCATGCAGAAGAAGTCGACATCGGAGTTGCAGCCCTTGAAGCTGAAGCAAGAAAGCTTCGTTCTTGATTCAACTAGTAGTGCTTGTATTTTGTGAGTAGCCCAACCGCTGTGTGCTGCCAGGCAAGGCGTTCGCTTGTCCTGAGCAAATGACGTGTTTTGAATGTGCAGAATTTGAATGCAGTTTTCTTGGCTGCCGACGACTTCGGTGTGACATGCGAGTTGATCTGAACATCCAAAGGACAGTATTATTGGAATTTCACAGAGGTCCTTTTCATCCAGTGCTGCGGTATTGCATTTGTAATTTTCCATCTATCTTAGGGTAAAGTTGCATTTGACTGTGGTACGCATAGGCTCTGGTCTATATAATTTTGAGGCGTGCTTCCATCCACTTGGTGTGTTGGTCAGCAGCTCACATGCGGCTTCATTATCAAATGCAGAACCTTTATATATTGATTGAAGGATAGTGCTGTGCTGAGCTTCTAAATTTCAAAATCTCTAAATATGTCTCATGGATTTCGTCGACATGTGGTCTGGCTGCCAAATTTCCAAATACCTGGCCACTTTGTGCCTTGGCAGCTCGTACCTGTAGCCAGGAATGTGAATTGCTTTTCAAGCATCACATTGCCTCAACGACTTTCTTTTGTAAAGTCCAGCCTGTCAGAGAATATCCTGTAGTGATGGATCTTTGATGAATTGGAGCCGCTGCCTACAAGGGTAGGTTTTGCGTGAAAGCAAGGATCAGGACCACTGATGCCAGTCAGAGCAAGAACGGCTCATTGGTTAAGCTTTCCAAACATCCTAGGAACCAAATCATCAGTGCGAGCGCTTCCTTGAAGAAGGGTGAGCTATGCAGCGTCCAGCACTAGAAGCTTAAGTAGCTAGTGGCTAGGAGCTTACTTAAGTTTCCCTACAAAAACAAGGAACCAAATGAATAGCGTGAGCTATACTGCGTCCTAGGTAGTAGCTACTGGCTACTAGCTACGGTTTGCTTCTACTAGCAACCTAGCTACTACCTTTTCTCGGCCGAACCCCCCCCCCACCTGCGGGCTTCAAAAAAGCGTTCATTTGGGCAAAACTTTGGCTGTTTTGCTGCCGATCCTGCATCCTGCAGCAACTTGCACCTTTTGCATACGACGCGGGGCCTTTGAAGCGCACTTGCGCCGAGCAAGACATCTTGTACAGTGCGCAAGCACTTGCGGTTTTCACACCTGTTCTGGGCTGCTTGAAGGCTGTATCATTCTAAAGTGCATTCAGCAGTGCGGGCACAAACTATTCCTGGAATATTGGCTGGGAGTTGGTTGAACACATCTAGGGGCTGAAACACATATTATGGAAAAGATCCAAAGAGGGCCCGGGCCTTTAAAGAACAATCAAGATAACGAATCTACCATAACTTACTTTCTGCATTCCTTTTGTGTGGCCTTCAAGAGATGCTTAAACACGAGCTCAACCCGTGAGCAGCAGATCGAAAGCGCCTGAGTGGGTGACTCGAAAAAAATCGAATAGCCGAGCAGGATAGTCATACCATGTGAAACGAGTCTCACTAGGTGTAGTCCTCATTAGCGCGGATGAGTTTTGGTATGTCAAAGTCAACTGAGAGTGAAATCCTCAGCTTTGCATTTCCATTTGGCAGATGCGGTCGACGAAACACTGGCGAGCTCCGTCCAAGGTTTGGGAGTAGGCAAAAGCATCAATCAGTGCATTTCTACTACGAGCAAGGACGCTACTAGTAGATCCTGGCCTTACTACTAGGAAGAAG